TCCTAATGTTTTCTCATGTATATTTCCTCATTCTTGCATCAACATAAAATTATGATGATAAGGTAGCTGAATAAAGACCAAATAAATGTAATATTTGGAAATGTTAAAGGTCTAGTAAGTAATTGAATGCTAGTATTGATAACAGTAAGTGTATACAAGTATTTAAGAAGGATAAATAACTTAAAAATAGTTTATCTGTCATGGCTGAAACATTCGTCCTTTCAATGAAAAGATGATATAATAATATGATAGAAAATGTTCTGTATAATAAGAAATACGAGGACAGCTGGACTGTGTTTAATATAGTTCCCCCCAAAAGCCATTATTTAATAGCTGTGCTTTGTTTTTTCATCACTATATAGTTGAGAGTAACAAAAGTATGAGTGTGAGTGCATGTGTGTTTCTGTGTGTTTTATCAACAGAGACTCTATGAGATAGAACTTGTTATATACTCATTTGAGAACAAACAATGTGTGTGTGACTCTGTTTTATCAGCAGAGCCTCTATTGAGATACAACTGTTTATGTACTGAATGTCAATGCTAAGAAGACAGAACCAATAAACAGCCTGATCCAGAAGAGGTGTGGGCTGGCTGTGTCATACAGCAACACAAATCCCATGTAAATTCATTAGCCAAGTCAGCCTCCAGCCTATACTTGGTTATAGAGTTAGGTTATGTCAGAAAAGTTTGGATAGCATAATTGAATATAATGGGAAAATTATACAATTCTAGATTCTAACATAGTCTACAACCTAATTTGGGCACCGATTGGTTCAACAGTATGCCTCCCAATCACTTCTTTATTTCCGCATTCTCTGGGACCACAGATAATCATTGCATATTAAATGATGGCAAACTGCCTTCTCCTCTTTGTATTTGAAGTTAGTTTTTCGGTGATGCTACTCTTTTTCGTTCCTGAATCCAACCCAAAGGCTATGCTCAGGTGGGTGCTCAGGTGAACCATGGCATTTCCTTGTTACTTGCCCCATAACCCTATTAATCCCAGTAAAATCCCAATTTAAATTCTTTCATTTACATTACCATTAAGAAAATGTCTGAACTCTTTGGTGTTATATAATCCAAGATTTTCAGAAATTAAATGGTGATATTAGACTATTTTCTTTAAATGTTCCCCAGGTAAAGAATCCCCTGCCCCAGCCAATCTGAATGATAGTGAGAAACTCCTTGGATTTGACATGCATGGTCTTGCCTATGTTCAAGCTGTTTATTCTGCCTGGGATACTCATACTTTTCATCTCTTTGTCTTTTTGAAGAGCTTCTATACAGCTTTCAATACTTGTCCAGTGGTTCTCTACAATGATAGTTTTCTCAGTACCAGTTGTGGGTAGCTCCTTGAAAGGGTGGCCCATCATATTCATGCTTGTTACACCTTCAGATTTCGTAGCCTGCTATTGTCTCTTTATATTCTTGGGTCATCTCAGTCTCAGCCTTTCTTTTGGCTTCTTTTTTCCTGGAGACCACTTTACTACTGCTGTATGTTGCTCTTCGTAGAACCACCTGACTTATTCATCATTCAGGCCTTAGCTCAAATGTAACCTCTACAGAGGAGTGGGCTGCAGTCTTAGATATAAAGTATATCCAACTTATCCTCCCAATCATTTTCTCATCATCCTGCTTCACTTCTGCTGACGCATTTGTTACTTTAAGAAATAATCTTGTGGAGTGCGCCTGGCTGTTACATCGGTGTCCGGCCTGAGCCATGGGTGCCACAAGGTGGGGCATTAGTAGCAACAGCAGAGCTGCCTGGGAAACAGCACAGCTTCTAGTTCAAGTGTGTGACTGTCAGTCTGAGCAGAGACTGACTATGAAGTCATGAAATGGGTGTGCTCCGAGAACATCTAGATGGCAGTGTCCTACTGCCTCAAGTACAACAGGACGTGGATTCAGATGGCCCCCTAAAGCAAAGCCTGGGTCTGTCTCAGACTGCTGAGGAGATGACACTGTCACAAATCAATTAATACCTGGTTGTGGCAACATAATGTCTGCAGCCTTTTGCCAGGCAGAACCTCAGAAATATGAAGTACAGTTTAGACAGCTGCAGAAATTTTCACTGATTCTCATTCCCAGTACTACCATGAAGTTATGTCTTTCCTGTAGATAAATGTCTATCTTCATCTCAGTGTGGTCCAGAGCAGCCCCAAGAACACAGCGGTATTTCTATAGCTTCTATTCTGTAGGAATTCCTACAGAATACAAGCCACAAGGATGTTACTGAGCAGCTGCAGACCACCCAGACCATCCTGTCCAACTTCAAGCTTTGTGCATTCCTAGATAGAAGTATATGGTGCACCTCCAGAAAGACAGCTACAACTATCTGATCTGCTACCTCCAAATGAGAACAATGTTGCTCTGTGCAAGGTCCTCATTTTACATATCCACCTGGATGTGCAGCCTGCCAAGAGAACATGCTACCAGCTCTATGCCAGTGTTGGTTCCTCTCACGGTGAGAGTAGCAGCCTGGAGCCTCTAGATGTGCCAAGCCTATTCTGCAGAACAAGGCTGCCTTGAAGATCTTACAGGAGAGCATCAGACTTATCTAGGATACCCACCCCACACACACCATCTGCTTTTATGCCTTCTACAATGCAGAGCAGCTGCTAAACACTACAGAAACTGGGATCTAAGTAGTTTCACTAATACTGTGCTGCACCAAGGACATGCCTACCCTGCATGGGACCCTTTCTCAGCCCCTACAGATTGTATTTTGTCAATGGGTCCCATAACCGTACCACCAGGCTATGGTCTTTCAATCAGACATACCCACTGAGGATATATGTAGGATACCTGGCAGATGTGGACGCTAACTACTTAGCCAAAGGCTAAGTAGATTCCACGCTAACTACTTAGCCACAGGCTCCACTGACAAGACTGTCTGGGTGTGAAGCACACAGCAGAGGAACTTGGGAAGCTCTTCACAGGCCACTGTGGCCTGCTGCTTTCTCTCCCAATGGAAAGTATTTGGCATATGCTGGCAAGAACAAGCAGTTGCAATTGTGGAAGCTGGCCTCATTTTTAAAAAGTTGACATGCCTCAGACATTATCACTAGCCTTTCCTTTAACTGTAATAGCAACCTAGTGGCTTCTGCCTCCATGGATAACTTAGTGTGCATCTGGGACCTCTGGAATACGTGCCATAGTGTGCCCATAGATGGCTCCTCCAGTGAGTTCGTGGTTATCTACACTGAGCAGATGAGCAGTGTTCTGAACATGTAATCCAAGGCCTGAAACCTGCTTCTGGTGACCAGGATCACAAGGAGAATCAGCAACACTGATTCTTCCCTTAGTTGGAATGGACTGTTCTATGGTGAGAGACTCTGGCCATAGCATGGACATGCAGAGCAAATTAGTGATGGGTTGTGAAAGAGCCCAACCCCCATGCAGCCTGTGTGTCATGGGACTCAGGGAGGACCAAGGCATGGTTCTGGACTCGTAATGAGCACTAGGATGCTTTGAGGTCAGTGGCATGTTCCCAGGGGGCCCTTGGGACCCATGTGCAAGCACCTTCCTGTTTATGTCTTGTCCTCCTTCCAGCATACTTATTGAGGACAGCTACCAAGTGCCCCCCTGCAACATCCCTAGACACCCTCAGTGGATCATCCTCAAGGAGAGACATGGGGACAGAACTGTGAAGGGGAACGATGAATCACTTTCTTGGATGACAGAACCAGGATTTTTTATTATTGCTATTATGACTATTACTCTTACTGTGAAGAGAAGACCTAGCACTGGCGGAGGGGAACATCTTCAGGTTTGACTCTTGGCACTGGCTGTGATACTGGTAATTTTGAAATTCAGAGATTTTGGTAGCACATTGTATCAGGAAAAAGTAAAGCCTTGAGTGTACGTTGAGTACACCAAAAGTATATGGAAGTCGGTGGGTGGATTGACTGAGAACACTGGACTCTTGCAGTGCTAGTGGGAAAGAGCATTTCTTGGCTGCACTTTTACCAATAATTTTCTTCCCTGAAAAGAAAGATTATGGTTGAATGGAGTGCAGCTTAGCGGTAATGCATTTGCTTAGCATGTGCAAGGCCCTCGGCTGAATCCCCAATACCACCAAAAAAAAAAAAAAAAAAAAAAAAAAGAAGAAGAAGAAGAAAAGAAAAGAAAAAGAAAACCCCCAAAACAAACAAACAAAAAGATTCTGGTAAAGAATAATTAGGAATAAGTCACATGTCACCCTATACAAATTCTGATGTATGCAGAAAGGATTAAGTATTTCTGCCTTCCAAAAAGAACTATTTTATATTTTGTTTTCTATTAAAATGTATTTAGTTTTTAAAAATCTTGTTTATTTATTGCTCTCCCTGTTCTTCCGTCCCCCACTAGAACATATTCCTCTGGCCAAGATGCAAGGTGCTTTCCTATTCACTCACTGATGTATTTCTGATGACCATAACAGTACCTGATACATAATAGGTATCAAAAATTTTTTGGAATGATTGTATTTTCATAAAGGGTTTGTATCTGGAAGAATGGTATAAGTAGGAATATTTTATGAGCTTCCCATGAGTCTAAATCTCTGCTCCTTCCAATTTTTCTCACAATGTCTGAGTCATTGTTTGAATGTGGTTTTTTTTTTTTCATAACTATTCTTACAGTTAAATAAAAGTTAAGGCTTAACTTTTCAAGGCCTTGTAGAGTACAGACATTGGGATCACATTGTCTAGGTTCAAATCCAAACTCATGTATGATGTTGGGCAAGTAATTCAATCTCTGTGTCTCAGTTTCCATATTCATAAAATAATGTCTGCTTCATGAACTTGTGGGTTGATCATAAGAACATGTACGCAACATTCAGAACAGTGTCTACATAGTAATTTCAATCTATATATTTGAATGATGACAAAATATTGATTCGTTTGGGTGCTAGGATACAATTTCAAATCCAAATAATAGGAGAACCTGTTATAATAGAATGTGATAGAGAAAGTTTATGTGACAGAACTACAAGCAGCAAGAAAATTGCTTCCAGAAATTCAAAACACAATAATTTATTAATTTTATTTTTAGACATTTGTAACACACATAAAAGTCTGAAAGTTAGAATACCTACATGATTTTGTGTTGAATGTTACAAATTTTATTTTAAAATAGTCCCATAAATCTTACCTTGCATTGTAATATTTTAAAATAAAATCCATTATATCAAAATCTTGAGCATTTAAAAAGTTATAAAGATCATGATTCAAGCCAATAATTTTGTGCTTTGAGATACAGTGGGTAAACACAGATTCATTTGCCTAGGAAAAATTTACTCTGTTCCCTTCTAGCTTTTTCAAGGCTTTCGAAAGTGATCACTCCTTTTGGCAACTCCAACTTATTCTTTTCTGTTTCCAGTATGTCTTCAGCTTCACCTTAAAATAAAGAACAGAAACATGTAAGACGACAGAGGCATTTTTTGAGGAAGCCTGATTGCCATGTTCCATTGAAAAGCTGTAGCATTGTATAGGGCCACACCCTCAAATCTCAGTTACACATTTCACCCATTTTCCTCAGGAGTAGTATACCTCCCACAGGAAACAAAATAATGAACAAAATAATGATTCATAGACAAGTCAAGTGCTAGAGATTTATGTTTGACAGAGGACAGCATTTTAAAGTGTAGACAGGAAAGAACTCCAAGGTAAATAATTTTCCCCTTGAACCAAAGTCAAGATAATCAGTATTAATTGTATGCGGAAAGGCTTGGGAAGGAGATCTAGATATATTCCTAGACATCGCCCCTTAACATAAACTAAGTATGATAAATAATGAGAGAAAATAATGTCTCCTAAAAAGTCCAATTATTCAGGAAAGCTATTCATTTACCTGAAATCACTTAAAATATCCAAAATAATATTAAATATTTATTAGTTATTGTATGTATTACACACATACATATACTTTTTTGTTTTTGTTTTTGTACTGAGAGTCAAACTCAGGGCCTTGCACTTGCCAGGCAGGCGCTGTGCCACTCAGCTACATCCCCATCCCATACACATTTTATAAACAATTTCTCATCCAAACAGCTACCAGCAGGCAAGGCAGTGATTTCAAGGCCCAGTGACATTTGCCAAGTTTTATTGTTGAAGACAAATTGACAAAAATTTTTAAGAATTGTACAATGTATGTTGTTAACATTCTATAAACCTGCCTTGGTAATGAAGGTAAATACTTTCTATCAGTACTCCTCTTTTAATACGCTATTTTATTTTATTTTTATTTATATTAACAATTTATAATTGTATATGTTTATGAAGTACAAGTTGATGTTATACACGTATATACATTGTATGTTGATCAGACCAGAGTATTTAGTATACTCATTGCTTTATACATTTATTATTTCTTAATTTTTTTGCAAACATAATAGTACAGGTTACAGTTTTCAAATAATAAGAGCGTGTTCACCATTTTCAAACATGTTTTACCTCAATGTTAAATAGTAGGGAAGAATAATTATAAAACTATGAAATTTGGTATGTCATTGATGAAAGACTAAATGTTTTCCCTGTGAGAGACACAACCAAAAAGAGATTGTATATTTTGAGGCTACTAATTGCAGGACAAAAGAATATAACCCTAAATTTCTTACACTGATATTTCCTAATGGATTCTAAACTTACCTCCTTTTTTTAGAGGAAATTTATTTAATATGTCTTGAAATTAAAAGTTTTATACCAATGAAACTGTAATAGTTGCCTAATATATAGTCCAACTTACTGGAAAAATAAACTTGCTTTCCTTTAGTAATATGTTCAAGAGAAGGCTATATAGTATGTGGAGGACCACCTGGACAACTCTCCTTGAAAACAGAGCAATTATCTCCATTTTGGCTACACCTGGCCTGATTTCCATGTATTGATATGTGCAGAGCTGTCTAGGAGTTTTCCTTATCCCCTCAATTGGCTTTAAGCATGCGAATTGGTCTAGCAGAGTTGCTAATGTGTAGTCTTTGAGGCAAGGTGACGGGTCTGGGTTGCCCTGTCTCATATTTCCCCAAAAGTAGGCATGAGCCAAACGGGGATCAAACTCATGACCTCTGGCTTGCCAGCCAGGCACTTATGCGGCTGAACTAAATCCCTGGCATATATCCATTTTTATGAATCATTAAGAATTCTCATCTCAGGGATGGGGATTTAGCTCAATGGTATAAGCACCTGCCTGAAAAGCACCAGATTGTGAGTTCGATCCCTGGTACAAAAAAAAAGAAGAAGAAGAAGAAGAAAAAAAGATTATGAATTCTCATCTCCAATAAACATGAGACATGAGTTTGGACTAATGAATTGTTAAGCAGATGAATAACATGAAACTGAGAAGGACGTGGAAATGAGATCTAACATTAACAAATTAGTCCTGTACAGTTAGTTTACAGCTTAAAAGGGGGTTGTATTCCAAAAGTTAATCTATATATCCATGTTTTGTAATTCAGAATACATTTTTCCATAGCAATGATGCTGTGAATCAAATTCTAGTCTATAAGCAAAAATTTAGCTCACAACATACGCCAAACTATAACACCAATAATATCTGACCCAAAATGGAATTTTCCCATAATTTCTATGTGGAAAATGTATTTCCATTTTTAAATGGGAATTTTTAAGACCATGTAACTCTTCCATCTCCTTAGGCCTATGAATGAAATGTTCTACTCCTTAAGTTCAATACTTAGAGAGCAGTCTGGAACTCTTCCTTTTTCATACTAGACCAATATAATGGAATAAATGGTAGACTCACAGGCCAGGAAAGTTCAAGACTGTAAAAATGCAATTTGGTAAGCCACTATTTTCAGTGCACTCTGGGTTAAAGTCCTAAGAAGGAACATTAAGCTCTTTTTGAGAGTTCAGCTCTCAGAAAAATGGTGGGAATTTTGAAAACCCAGATATCCCAGACTAATTAGCTACCCTATCTCCCTGGCACAGGAATGTCTTTTATGACAGCAGTACCATCTTTGAGAGCAAAAAGAGCCAGTATCCTGTGAGAGGAATGGTATTCTAGTAAATATTTAACAAATAGCTCCCCAGAAAATTAAATGCATGTAAATTTATTAAAATTTTATATAGATACAGCACATAATAAAACGTACTACTCAGTCATATATCCCATTAGCAATTTTATTACTGAATTCTTTCAGTGATCTTGGCTGAATATTCATCAACTGTAGTTTGTGAGAGAATATTGTTTCAACATGAATGATGGTTTGTGTTTTTACTACATTAATAGGAAAAAAGTAAAATAATGAAATAATGATTATACATTTCCTTTTTTTTTTTTTTTTTGTCTTTTTCCTTTTTATCGGTACCAGGGATCAAACTCATGACTGCCTGCTTGCAAGGCAGGTGCTTATGCTGCTAAGCTAAATCCCCAGCCCTACATTTCCTTTTTTCATAGTCCCTTGTTATTTTTAAGATCGCTTTCTTTTCATGATTTCTAGCTATAATCCTATCTTCACGTTTGAAATTCTGTCTTCACTTTTGTTTTGTGATTTTGCAAACTTTGAATGGAATTTTTAATTTCCTGGATATTTCTTTGAATCAGTTTCATGGATTCCATTTCTTTCCTTAACTGAGCAGTCATGGTTTCCATCATTTTCCTGTGCTTCTCTACTTTTTAATCTATTCTACTCCAGAGTTGCTGAGTAAGTCTTTAATTGTGATTATCATCTCCTTTTTGCCTGGGAGATTATTTCTGATCTGTCCTCTATAGTCTCTTGCACCTTTTTTTGAACTTCTGCTACTATCATTTCAGAAATTTCAGATGGGTGGCCTCGATTTTATTCTACCTTATTGTCCCTTGGACTTGTCCTGGGTGGCCTGAAGGTCTGGGGTTGAATTTTGCTTGTGTGTCTTATCATTTTCTATTTTTAATTTTTATTTATTTTTCTTTATTGATGCCTGTATATTTCTTATAGTAGGTAGCTTTATCACTAATATTGAAGCCTTCCTAGGAAATGTCTGTTCTTCAGAGGTGTCTTCTATGTGTAACAGGTTCTTGGTCTTTATGTCCCAAGATCCTACCTTCTCAATTTATTAAAGATGAGATACTGCCATCTAAATGACACAGGTATGAACTTTATTCATTTGAAAATGATCTGCACAACTGCTTAACTAAATCAGATGATAGTTTTAAACATTTTTAAAAATTCCTCAAAATTTTGTGTATTCACAATATAATGGCTACAGATATAGCATACTTTTAAGTTTAATCCTCAGTATTTTTTAAATCAGGCTCTTAAATTGAAACTGTGGGTTAGAAAGTATTAAAGGGCAAGAGTAAATATTTTAGATTTATGGTGTCTTGTACCTGTATTTCAGTGACTCAGTTCTGTGATGGTAATAGAGAAGTAGCCATAGACAACATAAATAATTAGGCATGAATGTAATTATTTTTTAAAATAGCTAACTAGCCCATAGGCCAGAGTTTACCACCTATGGTCTAGACAATTGACAAAATAAAAAAAAACAATCTTTGATTTGGCATTTGCAGATTTCCATGGTTTAAATGCTCCCAACGTGATCATGGGCTGTCACTTTTGTTGTGTCTAATTATTGTATCTGCATTCCTATCATACAGATATAATTGATGCAAATAATCTAAGAATATATTTTATGATAAAATAATAAGAGACATGAATTCTGAGTGTTTTATCTTAGTGTTAAAAATACTTAATAATGTAATTTATGAAATTGTAAGTCTATATGTTAATTTTTAATAAATTAAAAATTTATTAAATTTTTAACTGTTTAACTGTTTAACATCCACTGTTTACAAAATTTCTCAAAATTTCAAAGTCAGTTCTTATGAGCTGATAAGAGCTGACTCCAGATACCAATTAAGTGAAAGCAAAAATATTAGACATCAGAAGCTAGAGAATGGATTTTGTTGGAATCTCCATAAGTCAAGGATTATAAAGAGAGGATTCTTGAACCAGAAAATGGATTAGGAAATAGGAACTCTGGTTTATCAAAGACTTACCTTTCATTCTTTGTAGAAGAGTTCCATAGCCCAAATCATACTGGTAAGCCAAAACAAAGCTTAATGGAACTATAGGAATGAAGAAGGCTGGCTTCTTTTGTTTTATTGCTCTGTTTCAAGAATAAAGAAGACCTTGTATCAAGGAATAATGTCTAAATATCTACACATGGCCACACGAAAAAATTCTGCTTTTTGTAAGAATGTCCTTTATTTCAGAAGTTAATTCATTTGAATTTCCTATGGGAAATTTCTTTTATACAATACCTCTTATTACATTCTGCAGGTCTCATGGGAAGGCCTATGACTTGTTTATTTTTATTTGGTTTTGAGACTCAGATTCCTCTTTTTAAAAGTATAAGGATTGAAAACTATAATTCAAAAACTGTAGAGATAAACCCAGAGAGACCTCTTATCTCGGTATCCGGTTAAGCCCCACTTTAATTTATATAGTAAAGAAAAAACAGAAGAAATCTAAGGAACTAACTACTACTACCCTGGTTCTACCGAGATTACCCCCAATAACTAACCTACAAGGCATTTCTTTGTTTATATGTGCATGATTTGGACCAAAGTCTTATCTTACTCAAATTGATAATATGATTGAAGACAAAACAGTAAATTATTTAAGAAAATCTTAAAGAAAGTAGCAAACATACCTAGCTGTCAGAGAGATGGCTGAAATGCCAAAAAATGTTCCAAAATATTTGAGGAATTCTCGAGACCAAGCAATCTGCATAGCCATTTGTCTTTCCCTCATTTCATTCTGCAGCAGTAACTGCCTTTCCAGCTGAGCACAAAACAAAAAACAAAGTGTACTTACTCATCTTTTGAATCTGAACAGAGAGTTAACAGTGTGAGTTTTCAGTGGATTTTTATGCTTCAATTGCTTTGATTTTTTTTTTATCTCATTAAGACATTGACTAACATCCTTCTGGACAGTTATCCCCATCTGTCACTTTGGCAGTGAAATTGTCTTGATTGATATATTAAATATTGATATTGAATTTCTGCTTCCTGAGTTCATGGTTGCATGTGATCCGAAGGTTCTGTCCAAGCTTCTGGCATGTGTTCAGCTTTTTCTGTTACATATCAGAAAAGATCAGAATCTTTAAACAGAGATACACCTAAATGGTTCTATTGTTAACACTTTATGGAAACCATACAAAGCCTTCCAAATCCATCCTATTACAGATTAATACTCATTTGGAGTATCAATTCCATATCACACTCTCATATAATGATAAAGAGGTATTTGTGACATCAACAGAGATTTTTCTTTGCCATGTTTTTCTTCTTGTGCCAAGTCCTTTGCCACTTTAGTCAGTGCCTTTAGTGAAAGGCACTGCTTTGGAGCAAAAGACATAACATCCTAGAATATAGAAGGAGACTAAATATTTGAATGAGTTTTTAGGAAATACACAGAAATAATGGACTGAAAATCTTACGTCCATTATTTGAAGAGTGAGATTCTTGAACGAGAAAAGAATTATATTTTTGGCTTTTAATTCTAAAATCTTCACACTGCATAATATAGCAAAGCTATATGATAACAAGCATAGAATTCTTGATGAAAGACTAACAATGTGACTCACTTTCCCTGTAATGTCTTCTTTCTACCATGTGCAATAACTAGGAGATAGAAAAGAGACCTCTGACAGCCTCTCTGGGAGACTGAAGTACTGGCTAATGTAAAGGACACCTTAGAAGGGCTTAGGGTTTCCCAAATAGGATTGGTGGCCCTGCCCTTTTAAAAAAATAGTTTATTTATCTATTTATTTATTTATTTTTAAGAATTCTGGGAGAGGGCAGTTACAGGAGAGCAGAATTGCAGGGCAGATGTGAGTAAAATAGGCCTAAGAAAGGCTACTTAGCTATGGTATGAAGAAATTCTGTAAGGATCCCATGGCGAGGGACATAGGAGTAGCATAACAATCACCAAAGTTGGTAGCCAGGGGGTCTTCTAAGACATACTTGGGAAATGAACATAAACTATAGGCTGAATGGGAAGGCAGCTGAATCTGAGAAGATCCACAGCACCCAGAAGGGTACAGATGATGGCCAACCCAACCTGGAATGTGATTGTTGTACTCTAAGAAAGTAGCTTCATCATTTTGTGTATTATAGCAAACCTGTACCGCGGCTTACTAAATGTTTTCTTTTCTTAACTGATATGTTAAGTGACCCAATTGATATGTTGAGCAATACTCTCCCCTGTAAAGAATTGCAAGAATTTCACTTAATTGAAATGTTAATCACGGAGCGGCCCTCTACAAACAAGAAGAGTGGTGCTAAAACAAGCTAACAAGGGCTGTTAATCACGGGTAGGCGCCTCTAGTCTTCGCTAAAGAACTAAAGAAGACAAGAAGGCCCACTAATTTACACATTGTTTAAAGTAGTGTGTTTATATGCAGGGAGATTTGCCCATGAGTTTAACCTTTTTACCTAACCTTAGTTACTCTTCCCACAAGATAGATACTCGCCGTTTTCCTGTTCTGTAGCGCGCCTTATTGCCTCCCCCCACCCACCTATCTGGGCCATAAAGAATTTGGGTTTCTGGTGACCTCTCCCCGACCTGGTGATGATCTGTCATAAAATGAGCCTGCCCCAATTTTAAGAACTGTTTAGCTTCAAAGAAATTATCGGGAAATACTGTGGCCCAAACCCCGATCGGTGCTTTCCTTTTGTTCTGTATGTACCAATGGGTTAGATATCAGATCTTTGTAAAACTTAAGTTCCAGCATCTCATAACTCGTGACCCCTTCGCACTCACTGGCGAAGACAAGCTGTCCTGGGATAATTAACTCTCCACTTTCTTCCCCAAATATTGCTACAGATGTGCCACTCTGAGATAATGTCAGTCTGCAGGATGGGAGTAATTTGAGCAACACCAGGAACTCCCGGGACTGTCAGAGCTAAGTGGACAGCAATACAGTTTCCAGATGCGGGTCAACAGGTTTAATGGCCTTACAGGTTTCCTCCCCACTTTCCCTTACTTTTAAAAACCCCTTTCCCCAGTCTTGGGCGCGCAGTCTTTGGTTTGATCTAGGAGAGACTGTGCCGCCAGGACTGGCTCAATAAAGCCTTTGCCACTTAAGTTTTGGACTCTTGTTTCCGTGGACTTTATACCGGGGCCCACGTTATAACAGTGATTAGGTACCTTCAGAACAAATTATCTGGCACACTCCAGATCGATCAAGCAGAAAACAAGAAACAATAGCAGAAAAACCTTCTTCATTATGCCTGCAGTAATGCCTGTGACATCTAAGATCACCTGGACCCAAACCTGGATTCTTACAGCAAAAACATGAACAGAGGAAAAAGGGCAAAGCTGAATTAAGCTCTTAATGAAGTGAGTTTTGAATTAGAAGTAATTAAGTCACTTTGATTATTAAAATTAAATTCTTCCTTATCAGGAGAAGTTGACGTTCATTTGAGCTCTGAGTAAAAACTAAATAATATGTCTTTTGTATAATGTGTAAAGTCCATCCTTGCTATATTACCTCTCCAAGTGACATATACAGCAATTGACCATTTGTGTTTTTATCAAAAGGAACTTGGACCCAATGAAAATACAGAAGAGCCCCTGATCAGTGCTTCTAAATCTTGGCTCTCACTATGAGCATCTGGGGAGTTTTTCAAAGTCCCCATGTCCAGACACACACTCTAAACCAGTTATGTCAGGTGGGAACAAACATATGAATACAGAGGACAAGGTGCAAGTTTTCAAAAGATTTCTCTCATACAGCCAGAAGCTGAGAGCCACTGCCTGAAATAGATTAATTCACAGCCTCGTGTTTTTTTCTACCAAAGATCAAGCAGCTATCAGTTTGAAATGGATCCCTTGGGAACTCTAAAAGATGGTGAAGAGATGGATTTGTAAGGGTGGTGGGACTACCAACTAGAGTACTATTGTGATGAATACAAAGCACTCTGCATTTGTCAAATATGTAAAACTTTACAGCATAGAGTATATACAAGGTATACAAGGCTTATAACTCAGCCAAAAGTCAAAGGATACACAAGTTGGGAATGTAGACTGACAAAATAAATATATTACAAATGTATGACACAACCTCACTGAATGGGAAAGGGAAAGCATCTAACTAACTTGGAAAGTGGTGTTTTGTCCCGAAAGTATAAACTAAACAAAATAATACATAAGCAATGTACTCTTATGGCAAAGCTATTTCTTTACAGGGTACAGGTTAACAATTCTGAAACAGTTTTACATGTCAACTGGAGATGAATAAAATAGGAAGTTTATGTCAGATAATAGAATCCAGGTTTCTTACTGTTGAAGAGAGAGATTACAAACAAGCAAGGGGGAAAAACTAAAATGTACAGTATGTTTCTGGATGAGAGTTAAAGACATCAGTCTGAACTCATGATAACGTAATATAGACATGGTACAGGCAAATAAAACTATATATATATATATATATATATATGCATAGGTACATGGGTTAGTGTAAGTAATATACTGTGTATATCAGTTCATTTGGAGGACATCAAGGTGATTGTAACCACTTGCAAACAAGCATACTGAGCAACTAGACCACAGTTGCTAGTGCTACTCTTTAGTATAGGAACCAGCCCTACTTGGAGAAATGGCTGACCTAGGAGTAGGTCAGAAAATAAATAACATGAGTCTAGATGACCATCTTGTAGTGCCATATATCCTGTAAACAAGAATTCAAAATCATTTAGGTAGATATTCTTTTTTCCTTTAAAAAAGCAGAGCTTAACTCCCCAGCCCTTGGTTGTGAGCTCTACTGCATAATTATGAAAGGCGAATAGGTAGAAGGGGGAAGCTAAAGAGTCAAGATGTAGGGGCTGGGGATTTAGCTCAGTGGCATAAGCACCTGCCTTGCAAGTAGGCGGTCGTGAGTTCGATCCCCGGTACTGATAAAAATGAAAAAAAGACAAAAAAAAAAAAAAAAAAAAAGATGTAATGTAGGATCCTGGATGGGGTTCTGCAAAAGCAAGAGTATTTGAGAAAAATTAATGAGCCAGAGTGTGGAACTTATTTAATCATAACATGCAGTGTTGGCTTCTTGATTGTAACTAATATATGAGAGTAGTGTAAGATGTTAATAGTATGCTAAGGAACTCCGTGTGCCTTTGTTCTAAATCTAAAAATGCACTCAAATTTAAGTATATTTTAAAAATTTATGAGCAAATCTTATATTTTGTGTCTCTGGTCTTCTGGTAAGAATAGAACCAATCACTTCAACATTTGAATAAATCAGCAAAGTTGTATATTTGCAATAAACTTTGAACCTAAAGTTTAAAAAAGATCCATGCATTACTTTTCATGAGCAACATAACATTGTGATGAAGTATATAATTGAAATGTAATACTAGTTCTTAATTAAAACAATTATACAATGCTTCACAAAATTATGTTTAAAGTCATAGATCTAGATCCATATTCATTTTAGAAATCAAATCAATAGATAACTACCAAACTTTAATAGCCATAAAGGGATAATTATATTAGTATAACTATTGATTGATTGATTGATACTAGGGATCAAACTCATGAATTTTGTGCTTGCCAGACAGGTACTTGTGTTGCTAAGCTATATCCCCAGCCCATATAACTACTAATTTACTAGTAATAGGCATCCTTTAAATGTACATTTATCTCATCCCCTTGTTCACAAATAGTGATACTAATAACAGTAAATAAAAATGAAAGATAGTATGTACAGTGAGTACTCTTAATAGTTTTTAGCCCAAATAATAAATACCAAATTATTTATCCAATTTTAAAAGATTTTCAGAACTGTTTATAATACTTTTCTTATCTCTGTTTCTTTTGATGTTGGTTTACAAAACAATTTGAAATTAAAATGTTCCTGATTATGACTTTATATTGATTTTTTGAGGCTAGTTTAACAATTAGAACCACAATTGAGTTATTTCTATAAATAACTTATTTTTATGTGTTTTTAATATGTTGTAATTTAATTTTTTATACAGTTAATTTTAAAGAGAACGTAAAAGCTTATTAGGAGATAGCTTATTAGGAATAATTGTACATAGCAGTAGTAATTTACTACCTTCATAAAATTGT